ATCAAAAGAACATGTGGAAAGCAAGAAAAAGGGGGGGGGGCGGGCGGGACTGGAAAGATAAAGATGGAAAAAAGCCACAAATTAGTGGATGAAGCAGGTTGCCGCCAAGCACAGTTAGCCACCAGGGGCAGGGGAGGCGACACCCATGACTTAGATGCAGGCTCCATCTTTCCCTAGGCCTCAGCTAGGCTGGATTCAGGTTGGAATGTGATGTGATGACTGGGAAGGTGACATGGGTGCCTTTGGGATTGTCACTTGGGAATCTGTCCTGGAGCTCCAGACTAAGATGCTTAATCATTGCTTCTCGTTCTTTCAAGAGCACATCTGGCTCTCTTTCCTGGGGAGACTGAGACACTGGGGAGGGAAGACAGACCCCAGGGAGCAGGACTCTGGCAGCCTGGTTCCCAGTTGGCCAACCAGTAGGGAATGCCAGAAGGAGTGGACTGTCCTGTGAATCCCTCTCCAGTTCCTGGAACCCCCTCCTTCCATATTCTTACGATGCTTGTAGACTGCCAGGCATTCCTGCAGCTGGGATGGAGCACGAGTGGCAAGAATTTCCAGGGTTACATCCTTAGCAGAACCTGAGGCCTGCAAGAAAGTGGGAGGCCCAGCTGGGGTTGGTGGCTCAGCCTGTAATCCTGCGCTTTGGGAGGCTGAGGTGAGTGAATTGCCTGAGCCCGCGGGTTCGAGACCCACCTGAGCAACTTGGGGAGACCTCATCTCTACAATAAATAAATAAATAAATCAGCTGGGCGTGGTAGCGCGTGCCTGTAGTTCCAGCTACTTGGCAGACTGAGGCGGAAGGATCACCAGAGCCCAGTAGGTCAAGGCTGCGGTGGCTGGAAGTGGCCACCGCACTCCAGTCTGGGTGACAGTGAGACTCCAACTCAAAAAAAGATAATAAATAGCTGAGCTCGGTGGCTCAGCCTGTAATCCCGCGCCTTTGGGAGGCTGAGGTGAGTGGATTGTCTGAACCCGCGGGTTCGAGACCTGCCTGGGCAACTCGGTGAGACCTCATCTCTACAATAAATCAAAAAATCAGCTGGGCGTGGTAGCACATGCCTGTAATTCCAGCTACTGGGAAGGCTGAAGCGGAAGGATCGCCGGAGCCCAGCAGGTCGAGGCTGTGGTAGCCAGGAGTGGCCACTGCACTCAGTCTGGGCGACAGAGTGAGACTCCAACTCAATAATAATAATAATAATAATAATAAAAATAAATAAATAAATAAAAAGAAAGTGGGAGGCCTGAGACTGGGCCTTGACATTAGGATGGCAGAGGGTGAATACTGAACACTTGTTTTTCTTTCTAACTTTCTTTCTTTTTTTTTAGTCGGGGTTTCACTCTGTTGCCCTGACTGGAGGACAGTGGCACATTCATGGGATCATGGCTCACCACAGCCTCAATCTCCTGGGTAGCTGGGACTATAGATGCATACTACCACCCCTAGCTAATTTTTTGTAGAGATGAAGTTTTGCTATGTTGCCCAGGTTGGTCTTGAACACCTGGGCTCAAGCAATCCTCCTGCCTTGGCCTCTCAAAGTGCTGGGATTACAGGTGTGAGCCACTGCACCTGGCAGACCACTTAATTTTCTAAGGGAGCTGGACGCGGTGGCTCACGCCTGTAATCCTAGCACTTTGGGAGGTAGAGGAGAGAGGACTGCCTGAGTCCAGGGATTTGAGAACAGCCTCCACCTGGGCAACACGGCGAGACTTTGTCTCTAAAAAAAAAAAAAAAAAAAAAGGAGGAAAAGTTTTCCAAGGGCCAGTATGGAACAATAGCAGGGGGCCCCCGCCAAGTCCACACCTCCGAGTGGACAAAGGCAAGGCAGTTAGCCTTCTCTCCCCAGCAGTGTTCTCAATTCCCAGAAACACTGGCACGTCTCCTCTCCTGATTGATACCTTCAAAGCTGTCCTCAATTCCTGGGCATCGAATTGGGCCGCAGGCTGCAACAGAGCCACCACGATCCTCTCCAGGTTGCCGGAAAGAGCCGCCTGCAGGGACTTCAGCAGGTTCTAGAATAATGGCCCCCAGAGCAGAGATACAGGGGTGAGGGGAAGAGCCCCAGACGTGGGGGGTTGGGAAGACTTGGCTGGCTTTCATCTCAGGCTGTGGCACCAGCCCCCACTTAGCCAGGAAGCAGGAGCTGGCTTCCGCTGCTGCACCCCAGGTCCTCTGGGGCATCCTTCACCCCAGTCCACCACTCCTGGGAAGTCAGCATGGACTCACCTGCTGGGTGCGCTCCTGGAAAGTGCGAGAGATGAGCTGCCTCTGCTCTCTGCTGCGATTGGTAAGCACATCCACAATGGCGCTGTGATCCACGCCTGTACCAAGAGGAGGGCTGGGCTGTGACGAGGGTCTTTACAGAGTTGGGCCCCCCAACTTCTTGGAGGAGAGATTGAGGTCTAGGGAAGAGCTGGGAAGCCAAGAAGCAGGGGCTGTATCACCCCTACTTCCATCTGATTTCAAAAGAAGATGCAAATAAAATGTCAAGACAAGACCGGGGCACAGCAACTCATGCTTGTAATCCCAGCATTTTGGAAGGCCGAGTTGAGAGGATTGCCTGAGCCCACAGGTTTGAGACCAGCCTGGGCAACTTGGTGAGACCTCATCTCTACAGTAAATCAAAAAATTAGCTGGACATGGTGGCGCGTGCCTGTGGTTTCAGCTACTTGGAAGACTGAGGCAGAAGGATCACCTGAACCCAGCAGGTTGAGGCTGCCGTAGCCATGAGCATGCCAACTCAATAACAACAAAAAAAGAAAAATTAAGCTGGGCTCAGTGGCACAGCCTGTAATCCTGCGCCTTTGGGAGGCTGAGGTGAGTGGATTGCCTGAGCCCG